TGAATCATTGCCTTGCCATATATTTGAGGTACAGGTCTGTGTCCCTTCTTGACCTCATAACTGTTAACATTGTCAGGGACATGATGTCCATTCATGCCTCCGACAGCTTCTCATCCTCTTAGAGCTAAGCCACAGATAAGAAAGATTTGCATAATGAGAGCATTAATGAATCTTGTTACTGGTAGACATTTCATGCCCAACATTTCCTCATCAGCCTCGTCACAGTTACCCAGCTACTGTGACTAATTGCTTCAGAGTTCATATTCTCCACCACTCCAGTATAAACTTGGCAGGCTAAGGCAGTACAATTAGGGACTTCTGATTGGTCAGTGTCTGTACCCTTCAGGTTGTTAAATATTAGGGGGAAAAGTCAGGCTATGAGTAAATAAAGTATTTCCTGTTGGGTTTAGTAAGGCTGATAACAGAAGTGGGAATGACTTATTACTAGGCTTTAGAAGCATAGCTCTTTCTTTTCTGTCAGGATGGCATATGGAAGGATCTATGTGGCTCAGTTTTTCAAAGGAAAAGATTATTCTCTTGTTACTTGATAAGGGAAATATACAGAAATCTTGTAAACACATCCCACCCAGCCATGATCTCTCCCTATCAAGATCTACACATGCACACTCAAAACCCATGTAATGAGTGTATATATATATATCATATATATAGCATTTATATCTATCTATCCATCTATCTATCTATCTATCTATCTATCTATCTATCTATCTATCTATCTTTTATTGTGAGTATTGCCTACTCCTTAAAATGCAGTCCGTAGCAAATTCCAGTGGGATCTAAGCGGTAGGATGGTTGTAAATATGTTTTTGGTCGATGATAAAATGGACTGGCCAAGCATGTAACAGATAGTACAAAGCTTCTCCTCTCACAGATGCAGGAATTGGAGATGGATTTTTTCACTGACTGATGTATTTACACAGATTCAAATTTATCCACCTAGGCTTCTGCCACAGATGCCTCTCCAGGCATCTCTGCATCCATCTGCTAAAAGAGTAAGGTAGCTCCCTGAGGGCATTTCCTCATTAAAAAATAAAGTCTTGCACAAAGCGTGACACAACAAATTGAGACAGGACCGATCTCCTCCCCTTATGTCCAGGAGGGTCCTAGTTTGTTTGGAGGTTCCTGCTTCATATTTTTGACGTTATGAAGAGGTTCTTCTCTGATATTGTTTTAAAAGATTTATATATAATATACAGTATATAATATACTTATATTATACAATTACATTATATATTACTATATAGTATATAATCATATAAAAATGTATAATATAAAAATAATAAAATATAATATATTCTATGTAATTATATATTATATAATAGAATATATAAATTATGTATAAAATTTTTCACATAACATTTTTATTGATTTTTCTGGAGTTTTGCATCATGTACCCTGATCACAATCCCTTTCTATATTTTTCAGGTCTGCTGGCCCTTGTGACTGCCACCCCCCCCCCCTTACCAGGCAAAAGAAGTAAAAGGTTAAAAAACAAAAGAGGAAAAAAGTCCATTTTATGTTATCTGGAGCATGGTCAAATTCTTAGTGGCCTGCTCCATTGAGACAGAGCTGAGTCTTTCCTCCCCACAGCTCCGCCAGAAGCCTTTAGTGGTAGAGAGCTACTTTTTGGCATCTCTGTCTCACTTTTGAAGGATTTTCTTTGGTGGCTTCCTGTCTTGGCTGTTACTTTTGTGGGGGACTGGTTGGGATGGGGATTGTCACAAGGGCCTTCCAAGTCTCTCTTTCTCAACTGCATCTGTACTCATCAATATCATGGCAAAGTAATCTCCTTGCTTTTTGAAATTAGCCAGAACACACATCATGGGCTACCACTTGGTTTCTGTCCTTCTGGTTGCAGCCTCCAGAGGCTGCCCAGACAACAGGTGGCAACATGGCCTTAGGTGGCAGTACAGGCCACCCACATCAATGGCCCCCAGGGGCATCACAGCCTATGGATAGCGAAGTGGCTTCAGGCTGCAGCTCAGACTACAGACATCTATCTGCATGGCCTTTGGTGATAACACAGGCCACAGACATCAACACAGACCCCAGCTGCAGCAGGTCCGTGAACGCAGACATGGCCCTGGGTGGATATATCTTTATCTCTGTATCTATATCTATCTACATATATATGTATACACACACACACACACACACACACACACTTTTTTATCTTTGCAGATATCCTATCACTGACTTTATGAGTTTCTTGGGCTCTTCCTCTCTTGCTTTCTGGGAAATAGTAACTTTTCTTATCCCCATACTTCTCCTTTAGTGGGTCACGTGGTAATATTGTGCAGTCCATCACCTGACTTAAGACTCCCATTTTATCTTTTTAATTGACATAGGACAATTTGACACATTTACGAGAGATGGTGCTTGCATTGTGTTTCATGTAGACAATGTGTAATGGTTGACTAAGACGATTGGCATATGCCATCACCCTATGACATCATTTCCTTGTTCTGAGAAAAAAAATAAATCCTATTACTTAATTTAGAGTGTCCAGTTCTTTGTTGTCAGTCATGGATATCTTGTGCCGTAGAACATTGTAAGTTATCTTCTCTAACCACACCCCTCTTCCCAAGAACTGCCTTCTCATCTAACCACACCCCTCTTCCCGTCAACTGCCTTCTCCCTGCCTTCTCAGGCTCTAGGAAGCACCACCGAAATGGAAACTCTTACATTATCAGCCTTTTGCTCCTACTTATAGGTGTGAACATGCAGCATTTTTTAATTATGCTTGCATCGAGTGGGTTTTCTATCTGACAGTGTAAGTGAATTCGGCAAATTTGTTTGGTTATTGTACTTATACTTGGAGATACAACGACTTCAACAACTAATAGAAATATTTATCAACAATTTTTTTCTCAGTTTGAGTTCCTGTTTGTCTTTGGCTATAGCACGTATACGCATGGTTGTTACACTTGACATTAGGTACCTTCAAAGAAATAGAAATGGATTCACAAGTTTTCTATTTATACTGCTTGGTGATATGGCTTTATTAGAGAGTCTGCTTAACTTGTAGTGTTGCCTCATTTCTTCCCAGCCTGCTAACCATTTCTAGTTTAACAAAAGCAGCTACACCTCTGGAGGGGAATGTGAATGGTTGGCACCCACACTTCCATAGTGGAGTCTCTGGTCTGCACCATAGAATTACGTTCACCTGCCTCACAGTGATGTTGACAGTGTTTCTGACTTCAGATGCCCTTCTTCAATTTATCTTGAATTGTTGTTGTTTTTTGAGATGAGGTGTCGCGCTATGTATCCCTATCTGGCCTGCAACTTGTCATTTGTAGACGTGTAGGAGGCCAGTCGTGACCTTGCAATGATTCTACTGCTTCTGTGGGACTCCTGTGCCCCTATTGTATCCAGGCTGTCCTCAGTTGTTTAATGTATGCAAATAATGATGCCCTCCTGCAAACCTAAGTTCTGGGGAGCAATGGCAAGAAGGCTGCCTGGCAGTGGGCTAGCTGGCTAGTTTTTGCTCTGCCAGTGACCTACTCTGTTAGCTTGGAAAAAATAACTTGGCCTCTTTGAACCTTCATTTTTTTTTAAAAAAAAATTGTAAAGATCAAAGGGACCTTATCTAGCTATGGTGGTTGGTTGAGTTTATCAGTAAGTTCTAGTATAGCCAGGTTGATAATTTGCTTGTCCTGCTGTTTAGATAAATGGAAAAAAAACCCCACAGACTCTAAATAATGCTGGTGTCAGAGAGCAATGTCTTCTCATAGTCAAAAGAGAAGAAGAACACACAAATCATGTAAAATTTGCTCTGATGATATGAATATTACCATTGTCTGTTAAACAGTAATACAATTGTGTAAACTATTTTTCAGTGATTCTAAAAGTTTACTTAAACACCTCCTTTTACAGAGATGTCAAATTGGTAAATCACACTCCTTGGGTTTGAAAATTCAAGTAGGTAAGTTTCAAAGTTGACTCTTCATCTTTGAAGTATAGATGTATAAACAGCCTGGTTGGGGCTTATATAGGTCCATTTAGGGTTTGCATTCTTATCACCTGGTCTACGGTAGAGCTGCTTGGGGACAAGCTAGAACTGTGGGATCTATTGTAATTGACTGAGCGTGTCTCTCAGCCGTCTGTGCTGGGACTTGAGAGCTCAGCTCCAAACGACATTTTACTGGGCACATGCCTCAGGCAGCCATTCTTTCTTATATCTCCAAGGACTCTGCACAGACTTCTAATACTCAGAGCACAAAGCTTGGCACGTTCTGTTGTAAATATTTTCTTTTTCTATGCTATGTTTAAAGCTACTGAGGATTCCCTCTGCCCTCAACTTCTTAATGTTATATAGCCTAGAATAAAACATTTGGTCCTATTTACAGAAAGAATAAAGGCAGGAAGATGGGTAGAAAACAGGAACTGGTGATGCCTTCTTGGATTACAGTTTCTGACTTTAGAGTTAGTCATGTATTACTCATAACCAATAAAAGTGATTCAAAGTGAATTTTAGAAAACTTAACTTAAGTATATTGTATATATGCAAATATCACAGTGAAATCCATTATTTATATAATTAATATTTGCTAATAAAACTACAAAAAACTGTTTGGTTACAAGATTATTTCATAAACATTAGAAGAACAGTTCACATGATTTAGACACACAGCTGATTTGCATAAGAAAATACTTTACTATATTACATGTCTATCATCAAATCCCAGGAAAAGTGATATCATGGGAGAATCTTAGGTGCTTAGCCCCAGCACTGAAATCGGCTCTTACTTTGGGTAGTTTCTGCATCTCTCTGTGGCTTGATTTCCCATTTTAAAAAATGAGACCTAGGGATACTGACACTATTACTGTAAAAATGAACTCAGACACTATTAAATACCCAGCATCTGATGCACAGCGCTAGGAGGAAGTAAAGCCCGTCTGTGATTGTCGTTATCAGTATGCGTCATCAGTTGTCAAGGAACTGGGAACACTGCAAGTAGTTTTGCATCTCTTCCAAGAGCATTTTTTTTCTTTAAAGCAATACTATAATTTGGGAGACCGCTTCCTTATTTCTCTTAGCTATCAGCTCTATATAAGTATCCCCTTCCTTAAGACTTCTCATTCCTCTTTCTTTGGGATCTCCATTTTCTTCCTTTCCTTTTCAGTGAATTGCTTGCTCCTTCACATGGACAACTTAGCATTTGAAATGCAAGAAGATGGAACACAGAAGGCTTCATCCACGGGAAAGATCAGTACTCCTTCCAAAGCGGTAAGGTGAAGGTTTGCATGCCGGGGTTATGTGCCCTGACTTGTGCGAAGCTCAGAGAGAATCCTTCTTTAGACCAGTGCTCCCAATGAGAACCCTTTCTCATTGCTGCTCTGTCTTTCCTTATAAACCCCTAACTGCTGCTTCTTTAATGGCCAATTCTCTTTGAATTATTGCTCATAATATCAACAAATGCTCTTGACTTGTTGGGTTTTATCATTAGGTTAAAATAAATTTGCCTCTTAACTGGGGCTTCCCACAGGCAATATTTTCATACATGCTGATCAAGTAGCTTAAAACAAATCAAAGGAAAGATTTTTTTGGTTGGGTTGATTATTCATTGGTTTTTATATTGCCCCTTTTCTCTGCTAATCTAAAAGTCAGTTTAGACACCTGTTCTGCTTTCTATTTAAAAGGACCAAGCAAACTGCAGGCTGCATCCACATCTACTAGTCATGGCGAGTAGGAATAGTATTTTAAAACTAGTAGAGCAGCAAATATTATTTAAATATTATTTAAGAAAACTTTGTTTGAATGATGATGATGATGATGATGTGTGTGTGTTTTCTAAGACTTAAGTGTCTTACACTAGATAAGTTTAGGAATATATTTCTTAATGTGGATGTGGTTAAAAAAAGGTCAAGCAGGACTAAATGTTTCGTGTCTGATCATTTCCTGACTCAGCATCAATGGGTAAGACATAAACTTCAGAGTACACTGTTGAGGTTAGCAGAAATTAAAAATCCAAGTCCAGGAAGGAGACAAGGCCTCTGTTTTGTCACATGTGGAGGATGATGGCTTCAAACTTTCTCCTAGGAAAAGAGGCAGCAGTGGTCACTGCTGAGTGTTTTCCTGTTGTGCCTGCTGGCCTGTTTCATCACCACAGCAACAGGCGTGCTTACTCTCTCCCTGGTTTACGTCCATGCCAAACCTCGCTTTGAACAGGACGCCTCACCTTCACACACAGTGGTTCCTCAAGTACAGAAGGCTATCGATCCAAAATTTCAATTTCTTAATCATTTATCCAAATCCAAGGTAAGAATAACGCAGATCAGAAAACTGTTCTCCAAATGATGATTTTAAAACCATGCCTGCACTTCGTGGTATTAAACAGTCCTCCAAGGGAAGGGTCAGTGAGTTGAAGGGAGGTGGGGACTAGAGGAGCGGAAAGTTGGGTTGATGTTAGCAGCAGGCAGAAAATTTCAGCAGATCCTTCCTTGTTCTAATTAGAAAAGAGAAGTGCCAAGTTGTAGATGGAAAGGAAAGCTCTATGTATGTGTGTGTGATGTGTGTGTGACATGTGTATCTGTGTGGTGTGTGAATTTGTGTGTGTGTATGTGATGTATGTGTGTGGTGTGTGTGTATGATGTGTGTGTGGTCTGTGTATGGTGTGTGTCTGTTGTGTGTGTTAGTGTGTGTGTAGTGTGTGTGGTGTCTTTGTGGTATGTGTCTGTGTAGTGTGTGTCTCTGTGTTGTGCATGTGTGTATGTGGTGTATGTGTGGTGTGTAACTGTGTGGTGTGTGTATGTGTGCTGTGTGTGTGGCATGTGTCTGTGCTGTGTGTGATGTGTGTGTGTGTGTGGTGTGTGTGTGGCATGTGTATCTGTGTGCTGTGTGTGGTGTGTGTATGATGTGTGGTGTCTGTGTGCTGTGTGTATGTATATGTGTGTTGTATGTGTTTGTGGTGTGTGTGTGATAAGTGTGTGGTGTGTGTATGATGTGTAAGGTGTGTGTGTGGTTTCTGTGGTGTGTGTAAAATGTGTGTGGCATGTGTCTGTGGTGTGTGTGTGATGTGTATGTTTTATGTGTAATATGCGTGTGGCGTGTGTCTGTGGTGTGTGTGTGATATGTGAAGTGTGTGTGGTGTCTGTGGTGTGTGTGTGGTTTCTGTGCAGTGTGTGTATGTATCTGTGTGTTGTGTGTGTGGCAGGATTCGGCTGATGGCATAAACAACTGTTAATAACTCCTAGACTTTTACTGCAGTGCTGTTCCTTTTGGGAACCCTAAAACTCACCCCACCTCATGTTTTCATTTTGACCCCTACTTACTCTGTCAATAAAAGCGGGCTCACATTCTTTGTGGACAGGGACATGTACTATAGGCTCAAAGCTGATGTTTGTTTGCTTATGATTTTTTAGGTATTTGAGTTCCCTGGTGGTGCCATCCAGTGGGCGAGGTACAGGAACAACATTAAAGACTATCTCAGTGTCGAAGAAGAGGCATTTGGCACCAGCTTGAACAGCCTGAGATCACAGATGACACTGGGGACACTGAGAATAAAGAGCAAGGGCCTCCGGGCTCCTCACTGGCACTTCAATGCCAACGAGCATGGCTATCTCGTGCAGGTAGAAGCAGTTCGCCCTCTTCTGCTCTTAAGTTTAACACCATACGCCCTCTCCCACCAGTCACTAAGTAGGACAATGCTCTCCAGCTGAACCCTATGTTAGCATTTTCTCAGTTGAGCTTCCCTCCTTTCAGAGAATTCCAGCTTGTGTTAAATTGACCCAGAACTAACCAGGACAGAAGATTAGACGTTCATCTATGAAGCCATTTGTATTTTTTATGGAAAGCATGGTGAGATAGAAACTTTTCTAGAAAGAAACACTTTCTAGTGTTTACAGGGTCGAACTAAGTCTAGGGTTTTTGACTTCTGTTTTTCCAAACATATCAAACAATAAGGGAAGTACTTCCAAACGATCATTTTTTTCTGCTGTTGGCTAGACTATGGTAGGGCAGCAGGAAAAAGAAAAGTCAGCTGGGTAGACTTCCTGGACGGGTTCCTCAAACAGACTCCACTGAAGAAGTAGGTCTGCGGCAAATAGGCCCTGAGACCCACCTGGCCGGAGGAAGCTATTTCAGAAGCCAAGGGGTAATTTAGAATTTGATTTCTGAGTGTGTACTACATAGACTTGGGTATTCTCTAGATCCTGGGCAGCTGTGAGATTCCTGACTCCTATCACTAGGGCAAAGAGAATGAGAAGGTAATTACAGCCCCACAAGTCTGTGGAGACTGTGTCTGCCTGCCTCTGAGAAACTTGCTGAAGGCCTTGGCACCATCTTTCAGGGTAGCCTGGTAGACGAGGAGGCTGGTGAGCCTGGCCCAACAGTGACCATCCTGTTGACTCCTCTGCTGCTGCTGCTCTTCCTCTGCAGTGGCTGATGTCCTGATAGAATAGAGGGATATCTATGCTGTAGCCTGCACCTGGATGAGGGCAGAACTCTTTAGAGCAGTGGTTCTCAACCTGTGGGTCCCGACCCCAGTAGGGGTTGCATAGCAGATATCCTGTATATCAGCATGCAATCATAACACTAGCAAAATTACAGTTATGAAGTAACAATGAAAATAATTTTATGGTTGGGGGGCCACCACAACATGAACTGTGTTAAAGGGTCACAACATTAGTAAGACTGAAAACCACTTCTTTAGACTAGGTTTATCTTTCTTTAACACCCATTTGTATTCAAGATTCATATTACCTGTCCAGATAGAACAAAGACTTCTTTTATAGAACAAACACTTCTGTTTTTATCTATCCTTTTTGTTTCACTGTGTGACCATCAGTGTCTGATAAAATATAAACAATGGCAATAATATAAATAAATATTAAAGAAGAGAGTAGAAAATGAAAGCAAACATGATTTGTCCCCAGGGTAGTATGTTAGCTGTCACAAAATAAATGAAACTAAATGGTACTCCCACATCCAGGGTTTAATTAGATTCAGTTACATTACTTAGTAATACCTTCACTCATTAGCTTACTTTAATTTTGTAGTAGACTTCAAGTGGGATGTAGTATGGACAAAAAAAAATGTGACTTTGGAGTTTGCTTTCTTAGGTCCATATCCAATATTTGTCACTGACTAACTAAAGTAACTTCAAGGAAATGTATTTGCTTAAACGAGTTCAGTTTTCTCACCTACAAAATAAGAATAATAGAAACAATTGAATTCAATCAAGTAAAGTGCTTCGATAGGTACCTGATATAATGAAAATATTAAGTGTATGCTATTATCTCCATTATTAAAATTACATACAGAATTTTTCTTATTTTCCGTACTCATGTATCTGTGTGTACCCACACATGCACAAAGTGCATATACAAACATATGTGCTTGTGCAATCACCTGTGACCAGAGCAGATCTTTCATGCTTTGCTTCTGTCTTTTAAAACATGTTCTAAAATATGGAATCTTAGTGGGAGCCGCGTTTCCCTCAAAGAGTAAAAATGGATTCTTAGTGGGGGCAAAAGATGCTACACAAACACACACACACGACATGAAATAACTATTGTATTAAATTATCATAAGGTAATAGGAGAAAAAGTGTTTGAAAACTATGCTTATAAAACGGGTGATAAAAGAAGATTGAGAAACATTAGTCTAAATGAAACTAAGGTTTTTCTGTTTTAGGGGACAGCATGGATCGGGGTGGTTGATGATGGTGGTGAGGTTGCTACCACATACAATGTCACAGCTGGCCAAGTGATCTTCTTTCCTAAAAACACACTACACTGGATAAAGAACGTGGGTCAGGAAGACTGCTTCTTCTTGCTCTTCTTTTCCACACATGATGAACTGCAGACGTTAGATGTTGATGATGTGTTTTTCTCTACACCTGAAGACATTGCTTCCAGGTCACTGAAGGTATGTGATGTTGGTAAAATGATGAAGATGTGTGCTACACAGGCATAGAGTATGACTTCCAGTGTTTCTAAAAGCTAGCAATCTTCATAGATCCACAGGTTTGCTAACAGCGACAACAGTGATTGAATAACACACTCAAAAGTATGTTTTGTGTTTCTACTAAGGACCAAAGTTGATATTGCATTTCTTTTGGTTTTCCTGTATGAGTGTCTTACACATGAAATCAGAATGTTCTGATAAAAAGACTATGATATAATTAATGGAAAAATTCTCCCACTTACTGTCCTGAAGATTCAAAAGATGACTTGTCTTTTCTGTGGGGAGAAGTTTGGTACATATGGTAGAATTATGTGTTCTTTTTTTTTTTTTTTTTTTTTTTTTTTTTGAGACAGGGTTTCTCTGTGTATCCTGGGCTGTCCTGGAGCTTACTATGTAGACCAGGTTGAAAATGGACACAGAGATTCACCTGTCTCTGCGCCCCCTAGTGCTGAGATTAGAGACACATGCTGCCACCACCCAGCTGGCATTGTGTTTTCTTAACTTCCAGCAGAGAATCTCATTTCCTGAATAATTGGCACTTTGAAATAAATCTTTCAAAGTTTTAACTGTTAATGAGGTACCAAGGTGTTTCAGTGCATGTGTACATGATGTGATATTAATCAGGCTAAACATGTCCCTCTCCTTAAACATGCAGCCGTTACAGTGGGAACTCTTTCCTTCTAACCCCCGAAAGCACACAGTATATTATTTCCCCCGCTGTCACCCTATGGTACAATAGCAGAGCATAGCCTTTTGCTCCTGCAAACTAGTCCTATTAGTCCTAATGACCTCTCCAGACACTTATATACATTACCACAGGGGAATAACCAATATTGTTGGTAATGGAAGGTCAGGCATAGATGCTCAGGGCTAATGGGGGAGAACTAGTGATGGTCTGTGGGTAGCAGCTGGCGAAGGCTCAGTAACAAGCATAGGAATCTGCATAGTAAACTTGTGAGATTGCCTTTCAATGGAGTTCAGGCTTCTAGTGTTCTCGAGAGGTGGAAGGCATGGCTTCTTCTAGGGAGAATATTGCTAACTACAGGAAACAATGTATGCTTTTGTAGCAGTTTTCATTGGCCACTCCAATCCAACCATTTAAAACCAAAATGCATAGGAAACTTGCACAAATATCGGAAATTGTTCTGCCCGAGTCAACGAAAACCATCCTTGCTCATGCGACTGCACTCTCTGCCACCTGCTTTTTTGTTATCAAAATTTGTTGTGTTTCATAACCATTCATGTGATTTATGATTGTGTTTCAGCCTGAAGGTGGAATTAATTTCATTAGAAAATTCCAGAAGCAAACAGAGGATCAGGGGGTCAATCTTCCTCCCAACTTGGCAGAGCTGGTTATGAACGCTAGTTATGTTCAGTCTCCGGACAGCATTGTGTGGAGATATTTTTTTGACCTTAAAGGTATGGTATGTTTCATGAAGGTTTTCCATTAAGATTTGTATATACAGTTATATATTTTTGGCTTGTAATGTATTTTGGTGGTGGGCTATTGCCAAGAGAAATATAAAAACAAAAATATTTAAAAATGCCATGGTTTTCAGCAGAGTAAGTAATGTAGAGAAAGTCCTGCAGTTCAAAGTGAACGTTACAAAGGATTTCAAAGTGGGATGAGTATGTTTACAATCTGGGAAATGCTGTCAGGTCAGAGACTGGTGGCAGAGGACGTTCCCAACCATGTAAGGTTTAAAAGCTATACTAAGGAGTTTGTATGGCTTCTTAACTGAAAAATAGAGTGACTGCTATTTTTTAATTATTTTAAATAAGTGTGAAACCATGAATCTTGCTCTGTGAAGTGAAGATGTATCTGGCTGGATTGTAGGGAATAATTAGAATTCAGTTGGGGAGAAAAGAGATGAGTAGAGGGATTCTTGTGGTCCTTCAAATAAGGGATGTTATAGTCCTACACTGTGGCCAATGTCATAGTCCTTCACATAAGGGATGGTATAGTCCTACACTATGGCCAATGTATGCTCCTTCAGATAAGGATTGGTATAGACCTACAGTGTGGCTGTTGTCATAGTGCTTCACATAAGGGATGGTTTAGGACTGCACTGTGGCTGTCGTGAGACGGAGTGAAGAATTTAAAGAGATAGGATAGAAAGGACTTGATAGTTGACTACTTCCAGGGTGACATACAGAGTTTCCTTAGGGATAACTTCCAAGTTTTCTAGCCAGGTCCCCTAAGTTGAATGAAGAGTACTTACTAAGATTCTCTGTATTAGAAATTTCAGGACAGTTTGGGAGGTAGGATGGAATATACCTGTGCCCAGCAATTCACATTATGTAAGTTACCTGTGAGTAGAAGAGCTTTGTGTTTTACTGGGTGTCTATTGAAGCACAATTTTGAAGTATTTGTTATTCTGTTTCAAATTTCATCTGATTCAGGTTCAAAAGAATATAAGTTTCCAGGGGGAGCCATCCAGCTAGCTCAGTACTGGAAGGATGCAAATGCACTAAGCAGCAAGGAGAAAATTTTCAATGAATTTCTACATCAGGTAATTGAGGAAAAAATTTTTCTTTGTTACCATTAAACAACATTTGAAGATTTTTTATATATGTTAATTTATTTCCTTTTTCTTTTTTCTTGAAATTAAAGAATAATTATATTGTTTTCTCCTTTCCCTTTCCTTCCACTAACCCTTCCTATGCATACCCACCTTGCATTCTCTCAAGTTCATGGCCTCTATTTTTAAATTATTGTTATACAAGCAAATATATATATATGTACATATAAATACACATACAGATATACATATGTAATCTTAAATATATGAATAAAACTCGTTCAGTGCATATATCACTTTCTGTTAGCTACTTAATAACTCACTACTAGTTAGCCAGTTTGGGAGCTTTCCCTGGGGAAGACTATCTCCATCTCTCAGCATTCCTAGTTTCCTGTGATTCTTGGCCAAGGGTTGAGGCTCCTGAGTCCTCCCCTTTCTTGTTAGTGTGTTTTGTCCTTGTTCAGGTCTTGTTCAGGCAGCTATGTTGGTGAGGCTTCATGGGTATAACTTTCTTGACATTTCTAGAAGAGCAAATGTCCTGTTCCTGTGGCTCCTACAATCTTTACACAGGGAAAACCTTCTGATGATTGTCCAGGCAGGTAAACTATCAGATTTAGATCAGATTTACATTTCTTCCTACTGGAAGAAGGGAAGCCTGAACTAAGCCAGCATGGGCTGATTCCATTCATGTGAGCTTCTAATTGAGGCTTCCAAGGGCCTCATGAAACTTCCCCGATGAAGGCAGTTTCATCAGTGAAGAGAGTGGAGCATTGTGAGAGTTTCAATTTATGTGTTTAAGAAAATCTGGTGATGCAGCAGAGTCCTCGTGTTCATGTTCTAGTTCTGCCACGTCTTTGCTGTGTGGCTCTAGGCAACTGACGCAGATTTTTCACTCACCGCCGGTGAAGCGGGGGGAACGATGCAGCTTTGTAAGATTGTTGTAAGCAGTAAGTGATAAAATACCTATAAGGAACATGGAGGATATTTGCAGAGATGCAGCAGTATTGGGTGTTTTATGAATTTATGAACTGTTGAGTTGCTGAGCAGTATGTTGGTTAAATAACTGTCTTTTCTCCTTTTCTATGGAAAGCATCAAAATGTTCTCGCGTTGAGTACACTCAGGATTTATAACAATGGACTGAGACAGCCCCATTTTCATCTCAATGCAAATGAAATGGGATATGTGGTGAGCGGATGTGGAAAGGTAATTCCCCAATAAACCTTTCTTTAAAGCACTTTTTTTTTGATGCAGAAAGAAACAAATAGGAGGTATTTCACATGTCCACCTAGTCATCAGGAACAAAAGGCATCTGTCCTAATGAGTTGGTGGACACTATAGAGGGTACTACACAGATCTCATTACATGCTTGTCATATTTGATGAGACAGAAAGATTCAAGAGATTCTGCATTTCTGAGATGGGCAAAGGTATTTCTGAAGTGAAGACTTATTTCTTATGATAGAGGCTGGAAGAACAAGCTAGGTTTTCAGTTCTGCAACGCCACCTAATGCAAAGTGCTTTGCCAGGCAGATGCAGAAATAACCTTTTCTTTCAGTGTAAGGTAAATGACAGAATACGGAGAGGCTGGGGCCATCAGCATGATGGTTATGTGGCCCAGCTCATCTCAGATGCTCCTCAGTATGCTTGTTGTCCGGCTGAGCTATCCACAACCCCTTTCCCTCCTCAGAGAGTAGTTTGCTTGGACGATCACTTATGTGGTCAAGCTGTGTAGTATGTTGCTATAGGGATCTTACATTAGTAACTATACATTGTCATAAAATCCAGAGACAGACAAGGCTTTGTTTGGAAAGGAGTCTCTAGAGGGTCAAAGGGCACAAGGGAATGGGCAGGATGATAGGAGAAAAGAAAGAGGGGAAAGTGAATCAACAAAAAGAAATTGGATTTGAAACTGCCATAGTAATTTTGTAAAATAGTTTTAATAAAACACTTGGATGGTTTGTATTTCTCTCAACCTTGGAGGAAAGAACAAAAATGATATGAAGTTCACTCAGACCAAAAGTCTAGCATGTTTACATGGACGAAAGGCTTTGAAGATTGAAGAAGGGCATTGTGGTCCTCCATGAATTGCGTTTTAGTAATCTGAATGTTTCTTGCGGGATAGAGTCCTTTTGTGTATATATTTAGTCTCTATGTCGCAAAAGGAAGACTCTTCATATGGTATGATGCAAGATGACATAAATGAAGGCATCTAGTTGGGCACACACTGAATATAAATCCTCTCTGATATATATGAGGCATCATTGTGACCTTAATTAGAACATGATGGCTGATGCCTTTTATGGATACTGTCATGGCTATTTCTGTCAGTGTTGCATTTTTTGGCTTCTGTGGGGGCTCTGTCACATCCTTGTTAAGAAACCTCCATATAGCTACAAGCTACGTTGTATGTCCATTCTTCATATTTAATACTTATCCAAATGAGTGTGTGACTTTGTGTTCTAAAACATCACTTCCCCCCAGGTGGGCATCATTGACACTCAGAGAACCATAGAGTTTAATATCCACATTGGAGATGTGGTGTTTTTCCCCATCGGAACCCAGCATTACATCAAGAACACATGTGATGAGGATTTGCTCTTTGTTCTTGCCCTCAGCACCGGAGATCAGGTAAGAGTATGAGTCATCAGGAATCTGCTAAGCCACATGTTCGGACAAAGGAGGCCTTCATAAATACATGTTCAGTGAAGGGGTGGATGAGTTATCTAGATGAAAAAAAAGTGTATGAAGAGAAGGATAATCAAGACATTTTCTATTACATTGCTTCTTAAGTCTCTGAACTTTGTACCAAAGGATCAGTATGTAGAGATTTATGAAATCATTTCTATCATAGTATAGCAGATATTAGAAGATGAACAATATTTATTGGTAAAGATGCTTCCTAATATTGATCCCCAGGAATGGACAGGCATTCTCACATTGAAGCAGAGGTTATCATCCTGTTGGGAGAAGCCAGTGTGGCCGTAGAACACCAGGGGCATTTACCTGGCTGTAGGGCTTGCCTCGTCATATGGCTGCAGGTGCAGAGCCATGGGAAGTTTTTACTAGTTCTTGCTCACAGAAGGGTAGATGCATTTCTTAGTAGGACTGATTCCTTCAAAGGAAGGCTTGAGGTATCTTAGCTCATTCTTCCATCAGACTTTCCTTCTCAGAACTGTAGAGGTGATTTTCCCATGGCCAGGGGAGACTGGCACTCACTGTCACCTGTATGAAGTTAGATGGCCAAGTACCAGGCCATACTGCCAATGCCTTGGCCATCCTTAGGCCTCTGCAGAACTTGGAGCAGGGTTGCACTGACACCATTTTTGCTTTACCTCATTCAGGTCCAAACTCTTGACATGGATGATTATCTCCAGGCCACCTCAGACCATATTTTGGCCCAGCTTTTTTTCAGGAAGCAAAGCGAGTTTAAGAAGATTCCCAGATTCACAGAGGACCAGGCCATCAACCTGCCTTAAATTCCTAATGAGTTCATACTGTTCATTGTCAGTTGTTGAGAAAGAAAGGCCACTGGCTGAGAAACGTGCACTTGTTCCAAATGAGATGAGACAACAGAGACAGAGCAGCCCCAGGATTGCCCACGGGGCATCTGAGTATAGAAAGTCTTGCTGATCAAACGTTTCACATTTGGGTGTCTGAAGTATCTGATAAATTGGCATTATTAATGCATTTTAGTATACATATACACATACATACATACATATATATATACAAGTATATATACATATATGTCTTGCTACTTCAAATGTATTGTTTAAGCATTTGCTCTTATACATACAAGCAACATTTAACTACACAATTATTATTCATTATTTATCAGTGTGGTAGGTAAAAAAGAGACAGGTTTATATACGCACATTGTGAGGCACTGTAATCCATGTGCATTAGACCATGTCTGAAGAGTTTAGTACCATGCCTTAAGTTGGAGATTCCCAGTCCTTTTTGGCATGAGATAGTTTTGATGATGTCAACATTTTAAGGAGTTCAGTCATATCAGTAGTTATGTACTTATTTTATATTACCATAGAAGATATTTAATGACAAAATGAATATGAACTAAGTGCCATCCTTGAATGTATTTGAATTTTGTTGGTAACCTCACCATCTGTCTACATTTGAAAACGTTCTTCCCATGTTTAAAATGCATCTGAGAGTCTGTTGCTAGTGTTGGCTATGTCTGAAGATTCATGGGCCCCTTATCATCTTCATGAAGCTGCTTGAGGCTGGTGCTCTCTTAAGTTATTAACCTGACCTGTACTTTAATTTTGATTGCAATTTATTTTAACAGGCATTTGGTATACTGACAGTGTGCAATTCGCCACCATCATTTTTAAGCTATTTTATATAAAATTTTTAAGGTGATAGAGCTGACTTTAATGCCTTCTTTTTGTTATTACCATAATGCCTAATCTGATTGTTTTTAAAGGCTCAGACTGTTTATTTTTTTAAAATACACAAGAATCTGTCCTTTCTCTCCCCACGCCTCACTCTGCCTCTGTCTTCATTTGAATGTTTAGCTCTACTGGTTACTAGTAGAAGAATATAGTTAGAACTTCTCTCAGGGGTCACCACCTACAACAAAAGGCTTTAGGAATGTGATGTCAGCTTCTCTCTACTCTCAGTTATTTGTTAGTTCATTCAACTAGAAGGTTAGCACTGCGTTAGATGTTAGTGAGATGTCGTTAAATTATCTCTGCCTCACCAGTCACTGTGATAAGTGATAAATGTGTGCACACAAAGATTACATGGATACACACATTCAGGCATAAGTAAAACATGAAGCCCAGCTCTGGGAGTCATACGGAGGAGGGTGTTAAGACTTCCTGGAGTAGATCTGAGTGTAGATGAACCGTTTGCCACAACATTAAGAGGAAGATGAAATCTATGAGCAGGCAAACTTCTAGATTGAAGGCTGAAGGTAGTGCCTTTATATATAGTGTCAAACATGGAAGTACGAGAAACAGTTCGCTATGGGAGGACAAGAGGGCCAATAACAAGGGATGAGGCTAGAGCAGGGAGGGTCCAGACAGGGAGGACATCAGCATCCTTTAGAGCACATCTCTGTGCTTTTCCTCATTGCCTTTCCCCAGCAGAGCTACCTGAGATTGGAGCTTGGCTACAAGCAGAGGCTTAATGGTGTTTGGCAGGGGAAGTAATGTTGAAAGGATTTAGGGACTAGCACAAAGGAAACGGAACATGGAAGGGAATATCCAGATAGATAGATGTGTTGTTTTCATCAGTAATGACTAGACTACCCTGTGAGGTTGCTCCTCTCCCATAAAAATCTCTGAACTGTTATCAGTGGCTCTCCTTACTGACGAACTCTGAGGATCATAAAGGCAGAAAACAATGTGTGGACATAGCTTTTATCTGCAAATTTTACCGTGGAATATAAAAACATTATATACTATAAGCTTGTTTACATGTATGTACTAGCTTGTTTACCTGTATGTACTAGCTTGTTTACATGTATGTACTACTTTTTATGTACACTGCAGGACTGCATTCGATTGTTTTGTGGTCATTAAATAAAAATTTTGTCTATCTTTTTATATCATTTTGTCTTTTAATTTTGAATATAACCTATTCTTATAGTTTTATGTTTTTGAAGTATTATTATCTTTTCTTTATTATTTTGTCTTCTTTTGAAATATGATTTTTTATCTCCTAAGAAATGTACATCATGTTAAAACATTTTAGGTTTCCTGATAACAATATTCTTGACATTTGCCTTAGGAATCACTCAGCTGTCAAGTTTTATTTTTTTATTTTTATTTATTTAATTTATTTATTTAAGATTTCTGCCTCCTCTCCTCCATCGCTTCCCATATCCCTCCCCCTCCTCCAATGAAGTCCCCCTCCCTCATCAGCCCAAAGAGCAGTCCGGGTTCCCTGCCTTGTGGGAAGTCCAAGGACCTCCCACCTCCTTCTAGGTCTAGTAAGGTGAGCATCCAAACTGCCTAGGCTCCTACAAAGCCAGTACGTGCAGTAGGATCAAAACCCAGTGTCCTTGTTCTTGACTTCTCAGCAGTCCTCATTGTCTGCTATGTTCAGTGAGTCCGGTTTTATTCCATGCTTTTTCAGACCCAGGCCAGCTGGCCTTGGTGAGTTCCCGATAGAACATCCCCAATGTCTCAGTATGTGGGTGCACCCCTCGCGGTCCTGAGTTCCTTGTTCGTGCTCTCTCTCCTTCTGCTCCTGATTTGGACCTTGGGATTTCAGTCCGGTGTTCCAATTTGGGTCTCTGTCTGCTTTCATCGCCCGATGAAAGTTAATCCCCAGGAGATGCTGGAGCAGCTAACTGTTAAATAAAGATGGTTTTAGCCTCTTTGAACTGTTCCTCTTTGTTCACTGTTCCTGGCTAGTCAAGCTCTCAATGCTTATTTTAATTTAAAGGTCATTGTTGGCTTTTAAAACATGTAATAAAATACAGCAAAAATTTGCCATTTTAGTCTACACTTTGGTGACATTAAAAACGTTCATGATTTGGTGCAACAATCACCAAATCCATTTCCAAAACCTCCCGCCTCCCACAAGACAGAAACTACAACCATTAAACAACAACTCTCTGGTCTCCCTATTGCTAGCCCTGGTCTACTTTGTATTCATTCTGTCTTGTGAATTGACCCATTCTGAGTACCTCCTATAAATGGAATCCCACGATACATGCAACTACTTCATTTCATTCTTTGCTTGTTCTAAAAGCTTTGTCTTGGCTGCCTTCTTAGAACTGTTCTAGGATTATATAAGACACATAGATGTGGCGCCAGAGAAATTATACTTTAAAGGACTTATATACAGAAATAGACTCTATTTCTCTTCTTTCTTGACCCTTGTACTTCATGAACTTAGATCTTTTTATATCACGAGTATTCAAAAATGTCTATTCATATTTTATTAGATAAAAACAAATATTTTAAAAACGACACAAACAAATCCACACTAAGCGTTGACATTTTAGTGATGTCTGTGTCAGTATCTATACTTATCTAGTGCTCAACTTTTCCATAAAGCTTGGAACGTTCCTTTGCCCTCCCCTGCTGTAGTGGGGAATTGTGTTCTAGTACCTGACATTTGAACATGACGATTAGGTTGTTTGAATTCTGCTCTTTTTTTCTTCCTGTCACTAACAAGAAACCCCTAAGAACTTAAACAGGTGTCTTTCATATCTCTTATTTTGATGATGTACTTCCCAACTTGATCCTACTCAGCAATAACTCTAACGTTTCTGCAGTATAGCCTTGTGTGTTCTGTTTAGTTCTGGGCTAGGGATGCAGAACGACTTATATTAATGGGAGGACATTGTCAAGGCCAGGGGACAGGATTAGCATATTGTGTTGCTTCTTTGAGACATTGCTTTACCAATTGACTGTGAACTTGATGACCCAGCACACTTTCAAAGGTCCCACTTTTCATGCCATGCCAATGGAGAAACGTAACATTTTTAAAGCATTCACTCAATGCTTTCAAGGCAACTTCCCACTTTCTTTTCTATCGGGTTTAGGGTATCTGGTTTTGTGTTGAGGTTTTTGTGTTGTGATTCCCTAGACTTGAGTTTTGTTCAAGGTGATAGATATGGATCCATTTGCATTTTTTCTGCATACTGACATCCAGTTAGACTAGCACCATTTGTTGAAAATGCTTTTTTTATTCCATGTGTATTTCTAGCTTCTTTATCAAAAATCAGGTTCTATAGATATGTGGATTATGGTCTTTGATTCAATTCCACTCACCAACCTGTCTGCTTTTATGCAAATACCATGCAGTTCTTATTGCTATGGCTTTCTAATATAGCTTGAAACTAAGGACACCCCCAGCTGTTCTTTTATTGTATGGATTTCTTTAGCTATCCTGTTTCACTTATTTTGTTTTGTTTTTCCGTATGAAGTTGAGTATTCTTTCAAAGACTGTGAAAAAATTTTTTTGTGGGAACATGCGATCAAAGCACTATGTGCTTTACAGACTTGTGCCATCGAAGAAATAGGTTTTCTTCTCATTAAAATCCATCTTTCACTAATGAGCACCCACAGGGCTCCAGAAAAACTTTATAACTGTTTCATTTTTACTGTATTTATACTGTTTTACTTGTAACAAACCCAGATTCTCATTGTAAAAGCAAAACAGAACAGAAACATTCACTCAAAATATAAAGCAATAATTAGTAATCTTTCCTTTTTCAGTTTTGCAGGAAAATGGGGATGTATAGTGAGGGAGTTTTTTTATATTATATTTTATTTTTTTATTGAAAATTTCCACCTCCTCCCCTCCTCCCACTTCCTTCCCTCCCCCCACCTCTCCTCCCCCTCCTTCTCCAGTCCAAGGAGCAGTCAGGGTTCCCTACCCTATGGGAAGTCCAAGGTCCTTCCTCCCTGCTCCCCCCAGGTCCAGGAAGGTGAGCATCCAAACAGACTAGGCTCGGGAGTTTTGTTTTTACCTTGGTGTTAAGCGCTCGCAGTCTCATTGTGCTGTCAGGTGTAATTAATTACGAGATAAAAGAAAAGCTGCTGGTCACGGTGGACTCCAATGATTCATGCAAAACTTTTTCATGCCTCTTGTCTCTAGAGAGCATTATCCCAGAATCAGTGCATCTCAGACGACTATTATTCCTTGAGACAGCCCCATCTCTGTTTATCAGGTACGAAAGAGTAAAATCCGAAGAGAAAAACAAGCCCTTCTTGCTGTTAGGCTAAATTGCTTTTCCAGTATATCTTATCTTGTAAAAATAATCAGGTGGAGATAGTTTTGCAGGTGTATAGTACTTGCTCCCACCTGTGAGGAGTTCAGAACTATGAAGACAGCTGCAAGATAGCAGAGGAGAAAACTGCAGGGTTTAATGTTTATTTAAAGTGTCACCATTTGACCAAAGATTGATGCAGTATTCTTAGACTTTCTCCCCAAGACTTAGACTTGTCTATTTTCTTTGAGAAGCATTTGCATTCATAAAGTAATACATACCCTGATCAGGTGGGATCTACTTCAGCTGATATGACAGCTGCTGACCCTAGGCTTTGAATGTTCATGGGTAAAAGTGCACATGTCATGAGCGTATAACTTGATAGGTCTCTGCACACTGAACGTGTCTGTCTGAAGAGCAACCTGGCCACATCATGTCTAAGTCTCTGCTGCCTGCTTGCACTTGTTTGTGTGACTACATAGAGCCCATTTTTTTTCTTGTTGATTATCATGTGTATGAAACTCACTATTCTCCATTTCATTCCTTCTTTCTTAATTGTTGCTTCTTACCGCCTTATAATCAGTTTAAGTCTGTCATCAACTTCATTAAGTAAATGGTGACTGATATCCAGGACACAGACATAGATAGAGTGTCTCTACGTCAGGTCCTCATGGTGGCCTGGACAGCTGAGGCTGTGGCTTTTGCTCTTTCTCTTCCACACACTTATCTGAGAACATATCCAAGAGGACAGGCAGTGGAAAGAAAAGGCCAGCTCTTTCCTGCTTGGTAACACTGTCCTCATCACCTCTAGTGATGTTGTGAGCTGTTTGAGTCATGTTATTCATCACAGCAAAGGACAGAGGAGTGACACAGATGCTCCTGAAACACCATGGTGACTTCAAAGAGGAAGTCAAGTTGGTGGGGATGGAGGAGAGAGAGCGGTAAATCTTTTTGGACAATCCTTTCTTAGGATTCTTGGCACTGGCTCCCTATTCGGAACTCCATCTTAGAAACAGCATACTGGTATCATCCTCCCCTTGAAGTATGAGAATTGTCTTGGCTTATAACGTGACATCTTGACAATTCTCAACACCTGGGTACTAAAAATCTCCAAAGCCCTCAAATAAAGGTATATGGAATAAGATATTCAATTTCTGAGACCTTAAAAGTGAAATATGGGTACAAAATCTGAATTTAAGTATTTTGGAATGCTGGTTATAGGCAGCTTAAGCAGAATGGTGAACTTTAGGCAGCGGCGCATATTCCAACACTGACTGTGTGTCTATATGAATTGAAATGGGTAGTTTTCACCCACAGACATCCTTTTTTAAAAGGAGAACAAAAACTTGGTGTTACATCTAGATCACTTTGTCACCTGCGTTTTATTATGGAGCCTAGCCTCTTCGACCTCTTTGCATATACCTCGTATATACAGCAATCCATCCTTTGCTCTTCTTTTGCTCTCTCTGCACAGATAGCTGTGGTATGTTGCTGCCTGCGGATTGCCTCTTCATTTGCTCTTTAGCTTCCTTCTTTCTTCTGCCAGGTTAATCATCTCTGCAGTAAACCATTCTACCGGGGTCTCCCTTTTTTTGCACAACTGTCTCATTTGAAGCCTCCTGTACAGCTCTTTTGATTTTCTCCCATTCACTTTCAATATCTGTTAAGGGTTGTTTAATGATTTCCCTTGTCTTTTTTTCAGCCATTCTCTTATACTCTCTCCATGTACCCAGGCTCCTTAGTTGTTTATGATTTGCCTTGCCTGGCATGCATCTCTTCAATTCCAGTTGAATGGCCTT